TGGGAATGTGGAGTTACATGTTCTGGCTGTTTGTGAATTATCGTTGTTGAGTATGGAGTGTTGAGGTATTGATTTTGTATAATGCTTTATGTTGAAAATTGAGGTGGGTTTTGTTTATGATAAAGAGGATAAAGGTACACTACAGGTACACTTTCATACAGGTCATACAGGTACACTTTCACATTACATAAATCCCTGTCCTTCCCCCCAAGTCCCAGGAGTTAACAATATCCCAGACCAGATATCTCCCACTATCCCAGACAGGGTCCCATCTATCCCTTTATTCCTGGGGCAGGCATCACAAGCCCCGTTGCTGGTCTGCTCAGTGCCCTATCACTGCCTGATGAGTGCACCACGTTATTTTAAAAATATATATTACTGTCATTAGGACCAAAAGGTTTTATTCAACCAGTTTAAATTGGTGTCTGGAAAATACCCAGCACAATCTCTTCTATGCAATCAGAAACTTCATTTTTGACATGATCACAATGCAACAGAGTGATAAAGTGAATATTCAGAATATGCAGTTTCCTACAGTGACTTGTTGTAATAAAAGCCAAAAAATGTGTAAAGCAAAAATGAAGTGAAATTTGAAGATAGATGCTGTGGTTCTACTGAAAATTAATTTGTTGTTTCAAAGCAACATAAATGCCTGACATCATATAAAATACTTTTTTATTGTATATGTTAAGATATGTTTTACATTTAGGAAAATGTATCAGAAATCTCAGTGTAAAACTTTGACATTAATAATTAGATTTTGGCATGTCACTACTTGCAGTCAAGTTCAACAACAAAAGATAAAGAAACATAGTCCCTCATTGTGCTTACAAGAGAGTTAAAAATATACTTTTGGGAGGCATCAAACAAATGGCTGTCAACACGTCAGACCACTGTGGGTATTAGCTGTTACTGGAGGTGAGAGTATAAATGTTTGATAAACAAAATGTTCTTAATAAATTCAAGCTATAATGAAACATTGTAAGCAATGTGTAATACTACCACTTCCATTCATATTTAATGTAAATCTAGTTTATGTGTAAAATCTTCAAGATAGCTTTCAGATATAATATTACATACTTTTTGTTTTTACAATTACTGTTTATTGTGGAAACAAGGTAGGTAACTAGCTAGAAAATTAATGTATGGGCTTTATTTGCAAAGGAAACGAGACAACATTGCATTCAGAATGCAAAAAAATGAAATTGTTATCAGATCTTAAACAAGATTTAACATTAATTTTTAACAGTAAAAACTGAAGACAGTTTCAACAATTGTTTGGCCTCTGGTAAAATACACCGACAAATGAGTTTGTTCTTGTCTATAAGTATGAGTGCTTGTAAATGTGTGTTGCAGACATTTGTAAAATGAATAAATGTAAATGTATTTCTTTATTTTGCCATTGTTAGATATTGTTTGAATGCAGTTCCTTGTAAAACTTGGTACTGGGATGCTGAGGGAGTAAAAACATTGTTCAATTTTCACTGCAGTCTATAGATTAGGTTAGTTTCTTTGCATCTCTGAGTACATTGCTTTCTCTTCTGAAATTAAATTGCTGTCTACTGTAGTTTGATGACACAGATCGGTAATTGTGATAGAAGTACTTCTACATCTTTATTCATGTATTTGAATGTGAATATGCTTAAATTGTAGGTTACAATATACTTTAAGTACTTTAGAATAATAGCAAAAAGTCTGTTTGTTTTAAAAAAAAGAAAATTAAAGTAGTAACTCTGAAATATACCAAGTAATGTCTTTTCATATGTTGTGTTCTATTAGCAAAAATAATAAATATTGTGTTGGAAGTGTGGTGAAAAAGAATGATCAATTTATTTCTCCCTGTTGTCTCTTAATCAAAGTGCTTTCAAAGTTCTTTTACTTTATAGTTGAAATCATATACAGAGAAAGAATATATGTTTATACTGTATAGTATATGTACTTTAATTATAATAAGAATATAAATGTTACCTTGCTTTAAAAAGTTTTTGAAAAATTGAATTGAAAAAAAGATCATTACACTTAATGCATTGTACCTATTAATGCGAGTGACTTAAGGAAAGCAAACGAATGTATAGGATACAGCACTTAATTTAATTTGTGACCAAGCAAGCTTCACACTTGTGACAGACTACAATAATGTTTTTAATCAGCACAGGGAACAGACTGAAAACTTACAGTACACAATGTACTACTATTACTACTTATATATTTCCAAGCAATTCCTAAGGTCCTGAACAAAAAATTGGAACCCAGGGAATTAAAAGGTGGAAAAGAATTTTTATTTAGAGCATAATTGATTAAGAAAATGTACTCTGATTCTACATGAGAATATCCACTATTATAACAGTTTTCACTGTTATTGTAAAGTTTAGCTTGAGTGATGAGACTATCACCTTTAAGAAATATTTTTAAACACAATCTTTAAATACTAATGTAAAATATTTATCAATCAAATCAAATGTCTCATTGTCATGTATTCATTATCACTAACATAATTTGCTCCTCTCTTTTTTACAGCAACCTACAGTAGACATACTGTATATGTGGAGTATTTTTTTTGTCTAGAACTAAAATAGTTAACATTTCACTGAGATTTACCATAGAATTGTGTTTATGAATTAAAAAAAATAAATAACCCAGTGCAGAGAATAGAGACTTTGCACTGCAGTGTACTGTACAAACACAAATATATGTTATTTAAATATACAATTTACTATGGTAAACATTATTTAAAAGTGTAAGTATGCAAGGGTAAATCAAATCTTTGTCTTTTGTGTTTATGGAATTTCTAGTAGATCACGGACTGAAGAGATTCATCATGAATTCTACAAATGAGGAGATGGAGTACTGTTTCCAGCATGTCAAAGGATCTTGCCTCAAAGCACGCCGGCTGGCAGCTATTAAAGGTGCTATATACACATTTGTATTGGGAACAATCTTAGTTACAGTGTGTGGAAATTTAATGGTCATTATTTCAATTGCTCACTTCAAACAGCTTCATTCTCCAACTAATTTCCTCATCCTGTCTTTAGGATGTGTTGACTGTCTTTTAGGCGTTCTTGTAATGCCATACAGCATGGTAAGATCTGTGGAAACCTGCTGGTACTTTGGGGACTTGTTTTGTAAAATACATTCAAGTCTTGACATGACCATTTCAGTAGCATCTATTTTACACCTAAATTGCATTGCTGTTGATAGATACTTTGCTATATGTAATCCTTTACGGTACCAAAACATAATCACTACATTGGTTGTAGCCATTTTTATTGGCATTGTTTGGCTTTATTCCCTGCTGTTTGGTTTCGGATTGGTATTCTTTAAAGGAAGGTTAGCAAGCACTGATGAGCTGATCATTTCCAACTCTTGTGTGGGCTCATGTTTTATACAGTTTGATAAACATTGGGCAGTTCTGGGACCATTACTAGTATTTTTTCTTCCAGCAGTAGTGATGATTTCTCTATATGTGAAGATTTTAATTGTTGCCAGTAGGCAGGCAAAAGTAATAAAAGAAATATCAGGGACAGTTGTTTATCAGAATGGCAATAAAAACAAAATAAAAGCAAACAGGGAGAGGAAAGCTGTAAAAACTCTGAGTATTGTAATGGGAATATATCTGCTCTGTTATGTGCCATTTTCTGTTACTACTGTTACTGATTTGTTCTTGATTTTTTCTCCACCTGTGGTTATATTTGATACCCTTATATGGTTGGGCTACTTCAATTCTACATGCAATCCCATAATTTATGCATTTTTTTACCCTTGGTTTCAGAAGGCATTCAAAATAATTATAACAGGGAATGTCTTTCATTTTGGTTCTTCATCCATAAATCTCTTTTCAGATAAATATTAATAGATAATTCTAAAGTTGCTAACATGATCCCATAATTCTAGAAAACGTAGGCACAGTTTCAAACTTTCCATGAACTACAAATTGTTTCATTATTCAACACTACTTTTTAAC